CCTCCTGACCTATCACTTTTGGAGTGGGAAGCCGCTATTGTTTTCAACTCTGCTGAGAAAGTGGCTTTATTCTTCCAGTATAAAGAAATACTACCAGGCAATGGCTATTAAATTATCTTCTACTCCCCTCCCGACAGTGATAGCAGCACACCAAATTTTGTTCATGGCCTCACACTTCCCCTCGGTGCCTGCCTTTCATCCTCCCCTCCTTCCTTCTGAGTGAACCCCTGTGTTTTGGGAGCTAAGGTGGGGCAGGTGGAACCACTCTGGATGAAGATTCTCCTCCCGCGCCTGTTTCTGCAGGAATGTGCTCCTGTGGGTGGGACTGCCTTCTCGTCTTCTGCCTTGGTTGTGCTCTGGGCCTCATCCCAGTCCCCCTATCAGATCACATCATCTGGGAACTAGGCCCTACTGGAGATCAGGTGTGGAAAGTTGGGGCTCTTCTCACCAGCTAATGAGCCAGCAGGGCTCTATGATAAGAGAAGAGCTCAGGAGAAAAACTCCTTCCTTCCTTTTTCATTGCAGTTAAATGCACATCACATGAAAATGCCGTTCTAACCGTGTTCTCACTGCCGAGCTTAAGTATATGCTCCTTAAGTATATACTTGCTCCCCATTCATCTCCTCTTGCAGAGATGATTCTGCAAGAGGACCCCCCTCAGCATGATTCTCTTCTGTCCCTGGGTCTCACATAAGCATCATCACACTGTAATTGGGTTTTCTCATGCTGCAGAATGTCCTTAAGTACCTTGCACGGGGTAGCTTGTTGAAGTCAAGAAAACTTTGAAAGAGAACTGGATAACGTTCCATCATATGTTTATCCACTCAGCCATTAATGGTCACTAGAACGGCTTCCACCTTTTTTTCTTTTCTTTTTGGGTCACACCCAGCGATGCTCAGGGGTTATTTCTGGCTCTGCACTCAGGAATTACTCCTGGCAGTGCTCGGGGGACCATATGGGATGCCGGGGATCGAACCCAGGTCGGCTGTGTGCAAGGCAAACGCCCTACTTGCTATGCTATCACTCCAGCCCGGCTTCCACCTTTTGATAGTTGTGAATGGTGCTGCTATGAACATAAGCATACAGATGTCTCTTCCAATTCTTGACATATATACCACCAACACTGGATCAGAGAACTTTATGTCTAACTTTTTTTTTGGGGGGGTCACACCCGGCTATGCTCAGGGATTACTCCTGGCTTTGCACTCAGGAATCACATCTGGCAGTGCTTGGGGGACCATATGGGATGCTGGGAATCGAACCCAGGTCGGCCGCATGCAAGGCAAACGCCCTACCCACTGTGCTATTGCTCCAGCCCTATGTCTAACTTTTTAAGGAATCAAAATATCCTGTTCCATGCTGCAGAGCTGCATGGATTCACATTCCTACCAGCCATGCACAGGAGGTCCATTTTCTTCATGACATAATACAAAAATACTTATTATTTCTTTTGTTTTTACTTTTTAAAAAAATAATAACCATCTTAATGGGTGGGGTAGAAGATCATGGTGTTGTGACTAGCACAACAACAATAACCACAGTGTACTTTTATAGTTTTCATGGCATTTATATTTGTAGTCCATGTATATTCTATGTATATATTTGTTGAATTATAGCCCCCAAGCCCATCCTAAGGGGTTAAAACCACTGTCATGGTTATTTTAAAGATGTGGAAGTGGACTCAGAAAAGTGGGAGAAGGTGGAGACTCAGACCAAGGGCATGTTTCAGAGCATCTAGAAAAAGAAACTGCATTATTTGGGAGCACATTTAGATTTGGGGGAACTTAATAACTTTGAAAAAAACTGAAATTTCTCGTGGGTATATATATATATATATATATATATAGAGAGAGAGAGAGAGAGAGAGAGAGAGAGAAAGTAAGATAGTGACTAAACTGGGAAATTCTGCAATTACCAGCATCACAGGAAAAGAAATTTCTTATGATTCTTATGCACTCAGTGAATGGGGGCACCTTGTCACATGGTGGGGGGGAGGGGGTTTGGAGAGGAAATTGACCCAGCGCCTCCCAAGGAAATTGAGGTGTCTGGGGCTGGCGAGACCCCACATGGATCCTGTCAGAGCCTGTGCAGCACCTCGGGGTAGGTAGAGCTCAAGTTGCCTCTTTAATTTGTGTTTTGTTTGTTTTTTTTCTGGGCCACACCTAGTAGTACTCAGGGCTTACTTCTGGTTCTGTGCTCAGGGATCATTGTTGGTGGGGCAAAGGGGACCATATGGGATGCTGGGGTCGGAACCTGGGTTAGCTGCATGTAAGGCAAGCATCCTTCTCACTCTCCTATTTCTTTGCCCCTGAATTACCTCTTTAAGGAGAAGTTGGAGTGAGACAAAGGAAATCCAGGGGTTCAGGTCCATGCTAGGTGCCTGGATTCGATTCCTGGCCCTACACGGTCCCGGAGCATCACAACGGGCTGCAACCCTAGAGGCCTCTGAGATCTCTGTTTCCTTGTTTTCTCGCTACAGAGGTGGTCCAGGTCATCCCTGCTGCCACAGGGCCTGAGCACCCTTGGACCCTCGCACTGAACCTCAAGAATTGCCCATGGGACTCCTGACCACTGTTCAGGAGCCTTCTCACCCCTTACAACCCCTCACCCCCCAACCCCCACACACAAATGAAAAGAAGCTGGGGAACTTGCCAGGCAAATGGGGCAGGCAAAACAAACACACACGCGCATATGCACACACACACACACACACACACACGTATGTATATATACCCTGGACTGGCACAGTGCCAGCAGAGGTACCCAGGGCATCTTAGAACTCTCTGGCCTGGGGGAGGAGAGCTGGGGTGACAATGCACAACAGGTAAGACAGGCTAAGCATGCCACCTTTAACCCACTTAAGGTGGGGAGGTGGGGCAGGAATTGGTCATCTTTGTTATTTGGGCAGAAGAAGCATGGGCAGGTACCTGATCCAGAGCTGCTAAAACTTGTTCACCCATGATCCCCTTTTCCCCGAGAAATGGTTTCACGACCCTGAGTGTATAGGTCTATAAAATACAAATTAAAAAATTGACTAACAATAAATCTAAAAAAAATATTGCTGGGTGCTGGAGAGAGAGTCTGGGGGCAGGGCTCTTGCCTTGCATACAGCTGACCTAGGTTCACTTCACATTTGGTCTCCTGAGCCCCATCAGGCATGGTCCCTGAGCACAGCTGGATGTGGTCCCCAATACACACAGTCTGTTTAGCTCCCTGGATGGTCCCTTCATCCTGAAAGCCAGCACGGAGGGCTTTAGAGTTCTCCGGCGCCCCCTAGGCCTCGCCTCAGCCCTAGACGGAGGACAGAGCTCTTGGCTTATCAAGTGGGATTAGATGATTTTGGGTAACCCAGCTCTGACTACCGATTTTAAGATCACAGTTGATGTTCCCAACCTGCTGCTGACATGGTGAATTATGTGCTATGTCCGATTGCCTGTTGGCCATTTGGAGGTGGGGGGCGCTAATTGTAATGTCTAATTCTGGTTTTCATTGCTGGTAAATAGGAGAGTAATTAAATTTCCCTCTCTTTCTCTCTCTCTCTCTCTCTCTCTCTCTCTCTCTCTCTCTCTCTCTCTCTCTCTCTGCTTTTTGAGTCATACCCAGCAATGCACAGGGGTTACTCCTGGCTCTATACTCAGGAGTTACTCCTGGCTCTATACTCAGGAGTTACCCCTGGCGGTGCTCAAGGGACCATATAGGATGCTGGGTATCGAACCTGGGTCGGCCTCGTGCAAGGCAAACGCCCTACCCGCTGTGCTATTGCTCCAGCCCCGAATTTTTCTCTTACTAGTTTGCTTTTGTTTTGGGGGCACACCTTCTGTGCTCAGGGCTTACTCCTGGCTCTGTGCAACTCAGGAATCATGCCTGGCTGTGCTCGGGGGACCATATGGGGTGCTGGGAGTTGAACCCTGTAAGGTGTGTAAAAGGCAAGTGCCTTACCTGCTGTACTCTCTCTCTCCAGCCCCAATTGATTTGTGTATAGCTGTATATTAGGCATGTAGCCTTCAGATTTTCTGTAACTGCTTTCTAATTTCAGTGGGGTTTTTTGTCTATTCTTTGAGATTCTCTGCAAATATGTAATCTGTGAACAAAGAAAAGTCTTGTTCTTGTCTTCCCAATTTTTGTGTCTGTTATTACCATTTTTTGTCTTATTGTATTCATATGTTGAGGACAGACCAATGGGGCATCCAGGCCTTGCTCCTGATCTTAACAGCAAAGTTCCTGGTTTCGCACCATTTAATTAAGATATAGGATTTTATTTTTAGATTCTGTATAACAGGTGGAGGAAATTTTTCTCTATTATTCATTTGCCAACTTTTTTTTTTAATCATGAATGGATGTAGGCTGTGTCAAGTGCTCTTTCTTCCCTTATTGATCTGATCATGCAGTTTGTCTTCTCTAGCCTATGGCTGTGATGGGTTACATTAGTTGATTTTTCAGATGGTGAAACAACCTTGCTGGAGATCCAACTGGGGTGGGCTGCGTGCACGGCAAGCCCCTTGCCCACTGTCCGCTCTCTCCGGTCCTCCTCACCTCTTTTTCTTTTACACCACACTTTGTCCCCCTCCCTTCCCTCTTTCCCATGGATAGTCTGAGGTCAATAAAAGTTAGTGTGTGGGGGCTGGAGTGATAGCACAGCGGGTAGGGCGTTTGCCTTGCACGTGGCCGACCCTGGTTCGATTCCCAGCATCCCATATAGTCCCCCAAGCACGGCCAGGAGTAATTCCTGAGTACATGAACCAGGAGTAACTCCTGTGCATCGCTGGGTGTGACCCCCAAAAGCAAAAAAAAAGTGTGTGTATGTATCCCCCACAGCAATGTCTAGTAAATGTTAGGGACCCCGTCATAAAAGTTAGGTCTCTGATAGTAAGTGTTGGGGGCCTCAGAGTAAATTTTAGGGGCCCTGTAGTAAAGGTTAGAACCCTCATACTAGATATTAGGGCCCCCCTTTTATTGTTCTTCCAAATCTGTGACCATATCCATATCCTCTCTGCTTTCAGTCAGCTGACATTGACAACCACCACGCGCTCATTGAATTCAATGAAGCCCAGGGCAGCTTTGTTCTCCAGGACTTCAACTCCGTCAACGGCACCTTCGTCAACGAGTGTCACATTCAGAACGTGGCTGTGAAGCTGCTGCCCGGAGACGTCCTGAGGTTTGGGTCTTCCGGGCTGACTTACGAGCTGGTGGTGGAGAACCCACCCTTGGTGAGTCCACACTGTGCCCATGGCTAGGGATGGGGATGGCGCGGGGGCTGTGCTATGTCACCTTCTACACCAGCCCTGGGCTCAGGTGTGACCCGGGGGCGGAGACTGCCCAACAGTTTCTCCGACTTCCTGCTGTGTATGCAGGTGACAGGACTAGAGCTGGGTGAGGCTCAGGCGCGCTCCTGGGCATCCAGCAGGGCAAAGCCTGTCCTTTTGCCCCCCTGCTGGGAATTTGTGGAATTACATGTAAAAAGTGGCCAGTGGTCTAATGCAACCCTGCAGGAAGCTGGTGAGAGTTTTTGAAAACTCAGAGGTGGACGTTTCCTTTTTAGACAAACCAGAACTCTGCATTTTTCCTGGTCTGCCTGGGACTCGAATTTCTCCAGGGTGGATTGAGAGACTGGCGTAGATGAATTCAGTGTCTGCCCCGTACCTATCACCGTAGAGATGCCCGGCAACTGCTTATTAAACCCCAAATCAGAAATTCTGTACAGTCCAGTCTGTGCAAGCAGGAAACATGATATCCAGTCTGTGGCTCACCAGAAAGGCAGGGCAGTGGGGTGGTGGGGGACACAGACTCAGCCAGAACCCCAGCCCTGCCCCCCGCCCTCTCCATTGCACTCTTGGGCACGTCATTGACCCCTCAGAAACTTTCGTCTCCTCACCTGCAAACAGGGCCCATGAGAGCCGTGACCTTGCAGTTGGATCTCGTGCTGAAGGGCGTGATAATGATGTGAGCCTGCGGTAGTTACCTGTCTCATGGCCCCCCTCTGCCCCTTGCCTCCAGGAAGCCTTCCTAGATGAAGACTCCAAGACTTGAAATCCTTTCTGTGGATAAATAAAAGTTAGAAGATGCAGGCAGAAGCCTGGGATGGGGTATTCCTCGCCCTCCTCAGGCTAACATCTGATACCACATTTATCACATATGCCTCCGGCAAAGATCTAGGCCCGTGTTTCTCAGCCGCTGCTGCCCACTGCCTTCTGCCCCATGGAACAACAGTGAAGTGTCTTTGCTCCTGGACTGTACTGGGGTCTGCTGGGAGCAGGGGCGAGGAGCTTCAGCCCCAGAAGGGACTGACCTCATCTGGAGTTCTCAAGAGGGGTTCAAAGACACCATATACAGTGATCCAGAACCAACAGCGTAGGTCCTGGGGTCACCCCAGGCCCCATAACCCATAATTTGGGCTTCCAAATTAAATAGAGAAAACCCAGTTTAAATTTGAACTTCAGATAACAAATTTGCTTTTTAGAATAAATGAGTCCGTCCCTGGTATTAGTTGAGTTTGCTTATGCTAGAAAAGTTATTTTTGATTGTCTAAAATTTAGATGTAATTGGTACCCTCTGTTTTATTTGTATGCTTCTTTTTCCCTTTAGTTATTTATGCTAAATATGGAAACTCTCCACTTGATTTCAGTGAGGGGAGTGGTCTGAGTACATGGATTCTCACAAGCTCTCAGTGGTTACAGGACACCCCCAGCCCCCAGCACTAGGGGAGTCTCATTTATAATAGCTTATCTATAGCATGGGCAGATTTCTTATTATCACTGTATCACTGTCATCTCGTTGTTCATCGATTTCCTCTAGCAGGCACCAGTAATGACTCCTAGCCTTGAGATTTTAGCAAGTGCCACACTGGAGGCTCTTTCAGGGTCAGGGGAATGAGACCCATCATTGTTACTGGGTTTTGGCATATCAAATACGCCACAGAGAGCTTGCCAGACTCTGCCGTGTGGACAGGATACTCTCGGTAGCCTGCCGGGTACTCTGAGAGCTAGAACTAGACAATAATCTTCCGGGAGCTTGGTTAATAAGAGTCTCTGGGTCTTGGCCGTTGATGGGATTACACTGCGCTGGGAGTTGGTGGGCGTAATACCTAGCTACTGGAAGATGGGGGATCTGGGTGGAGGAGGCCCAGTCCCGAACCGAGCAGCCTTGGAGATCTCAGTCCCGGGTCTTGCACACCTGGGTTCCTCTGCCATTTCCTTCATGGGTGAGGTTCATCCAAGCTTGTTGAGAGTGGTCTTAAGCATGGCTGTGACTGGGTCCCCGAGGTCTTCAGCTGCTGGGGCTCTGCTCGTTGCGGGAAGGGAAACTCAACCAGCCCCCCTCCAAGGGGCCCTGGTGAAAACAGCTAGGCACAGGGGCAGGAGACTCTCAGATTTCTTGTTAGGAACCAAAAAAGAAAAAAGGGAGTGAACAAGCCACGGGATAGGGGTAGTGTGTTGTTTGCTCTGACAGCCTCCAGGAAGTCTGATTTCTATAACAAACCCCACCCCAGTGCCCAATCTGATCAGCTCCAGTATAACTACTCACTGAGCTGTGGCACCGCCCCACCATCTGTTTCCAGAATATCCCTGACCCTTTCATCCATCCAAAAAGGAAGCTTGAGGGAAAAAAAAAGACACTTCTCTCTTTCTCTCTCTCTTTTTTGATGTTTTACTCTTTTTTCTTCTTTCTTAAATTGTGACAAAGCACACAGAGAATTTCCCATCTGTGCTTTTCAGTGGGATGTTCCGTGGCATTCCCTCCTTCGCATTGTTGTGTAGTAGGCACCATCATCCTTTTCCGGGGCCTTCATCTTCCCAGAGCCAGACTCTGTGTCCATGAACAAAAGTCCTCCCCTTCCTGCCCAGTCCCTCCAGCCACTCACTATTCTTTCTGTCTCTGTGAAATGGAAAGCTCAGGGCTCCCTGCTTTGGGGGACCACACTAGACTCAGACTCTGTGACCATCTTATTTCACTAAGCAGAAGGTCCTTGAGGTTCATCCTCGCTGCAGCAGGCATCAGAACGGTCCTCCTTTTTTGTAAGTGGTCTGGGGGTGAAGGATTGGGCCACACCTGGTGGGGCTCAGGGGATCTATGCAGTGCTGGGGACCAAATCAGTACAACCTCTCCGGCACAGAATATCCCTTCTGGGGAAAGTGGGGTTCTGTTCCCCTGTATGTGTACTCTGCCTTTTACTTTTCCCTTCATGCATCAGCATTCTCTCTCGCTACCCCTCCCTTTCGGGGGCTGTCATGAATGAGGTTGTTGTGAAGAACAGGCGTGCAAACAGGACCAAGGGCGCTTCAATTGACATGCTTCTCATAGCGGGTAAATGTGGGCAGGGGTGATAAAGCCTTCTCCTTCCGAGGAGGAAGTGGGCACAGAGAAACAAGAGCAGTTTGTCCTTAGGACACTGTGCTTTCCCTATGAGTCTATTGGTTTGTTTACTTGAGGGGCCCTCCAATCAGGGCTCGGATTATTGGGGGCCATTCTGGATTATACTCAGCAGCCAGATAGGCAGTTCAGTGTCAGACCCCAGAGATGGGGTTGGTGCGCTCGGGCCCTGCAGTGGGAGCCACTGGACCACCAGGGTCACCTTAGGGTGCTCAGGAGGCCATATGCTGCCAGGACTGGAACCTGGGTCAGGCATCGTGCTTTCTCTCTTATTTCATATACCCCAGGAGGAGGATTCACCCACCATCACCCCAGACAAGGAGCCTGAAGCTCATACGGGCATTTCCCCAAGCTCACCCAGCTGGTCCATGAGAGCAGTGGGGAGGTAATCAGTTAGTGGGAAGTGCAGTTTTCTGGTTATGGCCAGTTATAAGCACCCAGTTACGGTCACTTGACTGGACACGTATCCATTGGATGCTATTAGCAGTTGCATTGGCTTCCTTCCCCCAGGCCACTGCAAACACTTTCACAGATGTCCCTTGGCCTGTCCCAGACACATCTTAGCAGCCAGCACCTTTCCAAGGAGAGCCACACCCCTCCCAGAAGGCCCCTCACCACCACCTTGTTCCTACAAAAGTGCTCTCAGGCCCTCTCAGCTTGGGGCTGCTTCCCAGATGGAGACCTGCATGCAGACACCCTCTAAATGCTGATGAACTCTGAGTCACCCATCCTTTGTGGGATTCTTCTGGGCGCTGAGTAACTCAGTCCTCTGGTTCCTCTGCCTGGTGACCCAGACCCGAAGGCTGTTTTTACTGGTACTATTGAAGAGCATCTCTCATCAGACATTTTGAGGTCAACTTGTCTAAGAAATCTGTGGCTGTCTTAATGCTGCACATGCTCTTTAATCAAAGCTCAAAGCTCTGGTGCCGTTACTATAAAATCAAGCCTAGGGGCTGGAGCAATAGCACAGCGGGTAGGGCTTTTGCCTTGCATGCGGCCAACCCGGGTTCAATTCCCAGCATCCCATATGGTCCCCTGAGCACCGCCAGGGGTGATTCCTGAGTACAGAGCCAGGATGCATCTGTGCATCACTGGGTGTGACCCAAAAAGCAAAATAAATAAATAAAATAAAATCAAGCCTAGCAACGGCCCCTACCACATACACCATAACGCACAGTGTTGCATTAAGTGGGTAGTGTACATAAATTACTTAGCATAACCCTGACAGCTTTTATAAGCAGACAGTCATTGTCAGGTTTTGAATCCAGCACACAAAGCCTGCTAGGAGCCACATTCCCTTCTGAGGGAGCTCCATTAGAAAGGAAACCTTCCCCCAGTAAGCATGCCAGTCAGAGCCATAGCTCCAAAGCATTCCTCTCTGGGTAAACTGTGTCCTCTGTTGCATGTGAATTTTTTTCCCTGATAACTCACAGTCACTTTTTAAAAAAATCAAACATTTTCCTTTTAGAGTCTTTAGATTTTCAGAAAATGACAAAGTTGGAAGAGAGTGCCTCTCCACGCCTCTCTGGTTTTCCTACTTTATCATAACATTCCCACAGACGAGATCGGGCGCGTTCAGGGTGGTATGGAGCGATAGCACAGCGGGTAGGGCGTTCGCCTTACAAGCGGCCAACATGGCCAACCCGAGTTCGATTCCTCCGCCCCTCTCGGAGAGCCCGGCAAGCTACCGAGAGTATTGGATATGCCAGACACAGTAACAACAAAGTCTCCAATGGAGACGTTACTGGGCCCGCTCGAGCAAATCGACGATCAACGGGAGGGCCTTTACCTTTACCTTTACCTTATCATAACATTCCCACAGCTCGACTTCACACCAAGA